TTATCATGTTGTAAAATTTGACTTTTAGGGGCAATAGATTTGGCCCAGCATATATCAATATAGAAATTCGAAATTCACAGAGCATGTCTTATTCTGAGTACACAGTACAGCTGTGCACGCCCCAAGCAGCTGCCAATCTAAAGAGAAGTCTCATCAGTGTTCAGCGACCGCCAGAACCCGACAAGGTAGCCAACACGGACCTCTGCTCAGCCACCACCTCCTTCTGCCCTCACACGGCTATACACAGGACGTCTACCGGGTGCCAGGAGCCAGTTCTGGCACACTGACGAAGAGGCTACAAACTCCACATTTTCAGCAGCTACCCTGAAATAGGAAAGTGATCATTTCATAAAAGATTTAGTTTTATAATATTAGAGTATGACAGAGAAAGAATTAGACAAATAATTTTATGAGTACTTTAGAAAAAACACAACATTTAAAGTCTAAGAGAGCTTAAGCCAACTAGGTTTTTCTAGTCAGAGAACACAGTATATAAGATTAAAAACCAGTAAATCACATAAGAACGCAAACATTAACGATCATCAGGTACAGTGGTAGCGCGCTAATGTCTTAAGTGCTGCCTTACTCTGATCTAGCCAGTGGGCTCTCACTTCTCCTGGATGGATTCTACTAAATAGACTGCAGACATTTAGATATAGATAAATGCTGAATTCGGTAATTAGTATTTTAAAACTGTGAAACCTTTTAAGTTAAGTGGTCTATTAATTAACTACCAATTATCTTGTCTGACTACCATATCAATAGAAGTAAATTACTGACTAGCTATCTGACAGATTTAGTCCTTTACCATGGAAAATCTCTACTGCACATAAAAGGCCTGAGGTTGAATGCTTTTGCTTTTTCTCTTTCTGGTAATCCTGGATCAGTTTGCCAATTTGATAAAGGCCAAATGCAGCTCCCTGGTTTAAAAGGACCTATGGCTAAACTCTGGCTCAGAAACCAACCAAGACTCCCTCTCCGGAAAAAAACCTGAAGAGAAGCTAATTTAGTTATTTCAGGGAAATGCGAAGCTGCAGTCACTGTGTGGAGGCCAGGCTGTAATGTCACTTGGTGGATGAGAGGTGTGTTTTCAAGTTCTTGCCTCTCACGGAGACGGCATTTGTGTGAATGACTTGGATGCTCATGGTAGACAAGCAGACTAAAGCCTACCCCGCATCATCCATTTGCTGACTGGAACCAAGAGAAGGCTCCTGGAAGGTCTGCTGGTGCAGAACAACTCTGAAGGCTAGCGTCATAGCTGACGGCACAGCTGTGCCTTCCCGTCTGCAGAGTGTGTGTGCTCAGAAGGAAGGAAGCAGCAGCAATACAGGCTCTCCTGCGGAGGCCCGGGTCACAGACAAGGAATGATGGCTGCCATGCATTCAATCTGTGTTTGATTCACAGTGCTGTACCAGCAGCTGTCTTCTTAAAAGACCGAGCCTTGCACCTAGGAGTGGGCTCAGTATGCTACGGAAACAAGAGCACACAGGAGCAAGGGGAGCAAAAGTGTGGGTAGGAACTGAAGGAGACAGAGACAATGAGTGGAAGGCAACCCCGACTTGAAGTCAATAGCTTGGTTAGTCCAGCATGATGTTTCCCTGCTCAGAAGACAGCATGGACCCATCTGAGTACTCTCTGAATAGGTTACCTTCTAAATATTTAAGCAGAAGCCTTAATATGATCAAATATTTATTAACTAAATTAGAATGCAGTTCCAGGTGTGTGTGTGTGTGTGTGTGTGTGTGTGTGTGTGTGTGTGAAGTGGGGGTTCGGCTATAACAAATTGCCACCAAACAATCTGTCACCAACTTTGTTATGTGAGGCACAAAGTTGACAAAATTCTTTCAGAAAACACTTACTATGCGCCAAAGGACAAAATGACAATATATGCCACAAAAAGCAGAAAAGGAAAAAAAAAAGTTATACACAGTTCATTTAACTGTAGCATCACTAGAAAAGTAGGGATTAGGCCAGGAGTGTAGCTAGGGGGTAAAAAGCCCCAACATATGCAGGGGCTCAGAGAACAGGGTGTTGAAAGGACAGTCCTAAGGCTCCTTACAGCTCCCAAACCCAAGGTACCAGTAAAGGCAGGGGTTGGGAGGGACGCTTACATGGCCATCTTGAGCTAGACCTTAGAGGAGCAGTGGCTGGAGCTGGCAGAGCACCTCCAAGGTGGAGTCACGTGCTATTCTAGTTCCTCCACGACTTCAACTCCAAGTCAGGGTCAACACAGTTGTAATTCTACGAAAACACATTGACTGCTAGTTAGAAGTCTGGCTTAAGATGACCTGTCCAAATGGTGGAATGTACTCTGCTCAGCAGACCAACATTTTTACTGGATGGGGCAACTTCTTTTCCCAGCCCAGGCACAGTCAAAAGGCACACTGGTTATTTCCTTCTGAAGCAAGAATGGCGGGAGCCAAGGCAACACATCTCTGCAAACCTACCACTAACATTTTCAAACAAGAAAACCAGAAATGGGGCTGGAGAGATGGCTCAGAGGTTAAGAGAGAGCACCGACTGTCCTTCCAGAGGTCCTGAGTTCAATTCCCAGCAACCACATGGTGGCTCACAACCATCCATAATGAGAGCTGGTTCCCCATTCTGGCCTGTAAGCATACATGCAGGCAGAACATTGTACATGAAATAAATGTTTTTTTTTTTTTAAAAAAAAAAAAAGAAAACCAGAAATGGAAGCTGAACTCAAGTGGCGTTCAGCAATACTTTTAAACCCCCGCAGCAACCACCGTAAAGATTAAAAGCAGCCTTCTTTTATGTTGCAGTTGCTAACTCTCAGCTTCTCTAAAGGTTTGCGAAGTCTTGGCAAGAAGTCAGAAATTCCAACACTAAAATGAATTTTCTGACTCAATATTGAAAATAAACTCTTAAGTTTAGATGCTTAGGGGAAAAACAGCTGGAGAATTCAGGAGCCTCCCATAGTTTAATACAAAGTGATGTCATTACCAACCAGGCTTCCAAGAACTCCCTAAATTGTGTGGTTAAGCAACTCATAGCTCAGCGAGGAGGTTAGGAAGGTGCAGTTCACCCTTGGTGCATGGACTCGGGCACAGGGGTGCGATCTCTCCCTATGTTACAGAGTGGGTTTCCTTCAGCACTCTAAGTCAGCCCCTAAATTTCATGTCTAAAGAACTGCTGCTGCCCTGAGGCATGCATTTAACCCAAGGCTGCACGGTTTCTCTAAAAACCTGGGTATATTTAAAATTGTACAAGTTAGAAAAATGATTTGCAGAGAATAGTCAAGAAGGTGATACTGGAGGAAACTTGGTGAAAGTTGAAGTTAATAGTTAGGAAATCTTGCATCACCTCAAACGTTACTGAGGGGGAAAATCAGTGTCTAGTTAATACTAATCTTCCAATGGATGTGTCTGTTCTCAAGGCTGGTGAGGCAACTGAAATCAGCTGGAATCTGTGGCGGCTCAAACAGGGAACTTACACTGTACCCACAGTTTGTTTTTTATTTCAAATGCTGACCCTCATTTTGTTTGTTTGTTTTGGAAACAAGGTCTTGCTCTGTAGCCCTGGATGGCCTGAAACTCAGTGTTATTAGACCAGGCTAACCTTGAACTTATAGAGATCCATCTACCCCTGTCTCGCAAGTGCTCAGGTTAAAGGTGATGTGTGCTACGCCTTGTCTGGGGAGTTTTTTACACTCAGAATTATAAACACGTAGGATTCCTGACAAATTATCCTGCCAAGTCCATTCAGTTGGCCCTTACTAACTCATGGCTGTGCTGTGACACTTGATGCCTGTTCCTGCAGCAGCAAAAAACTTGTCTGCTTTGCACACCGACTGCACACTTATGTACGTGTACATGTGTGTGCTCATTCTCCCACACCGTTCACTCATTTAAAATGCCACGATGGGTGAGTTCAGCTTATTCATATGTTCATTTCCAGAAGCTTGGAAACAAATTGCATAAAGCTCATGTTTCCAAATAAAACATTAGGATAAGTTTCATCCAGGACCAGAGAAGAGCCTTGATACTGGACAAGCAATATCTGAATACTTCAGAAGACAGATTAAGTTTTTAAGCAGTTGCTAAAACATTAATGAGGTTTAATGTGACCTGTTTAGGAGAAACAGCCCTTTGTTGAGTTCTATTGGAAGACATCTCTGCCTATGGGGGTAAAACCCTATCTCCTTACCCTTTCTTCTTCCTTTCCCCTTAGTGCAGGGATATAACCCAGGGCCTTGCACATGCTCAGTTAACACCCTACCACTATCTGAACTACTCTCAATTCTTCTTGGTTCTCTTTTACTGGATCATTTCTGACTACATAAGGAAAATACAAAGAAAAAACAGTAAATCATGGATCAACACGACATGCTCAGAGTTGGAGGGAAGGTGTCGCATCTACCTTTATTGACAATCCAGCTAAAAAGGTATGGTCCTCTGGGAACTGAAGCCCCCTTGCACTCTCTGGATGCTGTAGGGCTCACAGGGACTCACAAATGCTCTTCCCCTCTCTGCAGTTCTTTCAAGATGACTCCTCATTTGAGAGGCGCCAGATAAAACAGTCCTGAGATGTCCACCATCTGAGCAGTCTGTATGGCCGATGGATGCTAAGTAGCTGCCAAGGTGGCCTGGCCACTCCCAATTAACCACAGACGCTGATCTCAGAATTTCTGGCACTTTCTAAAATGTGGCTGAGCAGTAGTTTGGAAGCCTAACCCCTGACTTTATGTATCCATAAGAACTAGGGTTTTCTAAACTCAACAGAAAGCTAAATAAACAAAGCCGGGGCTTACACTCCCTCTTGTTATTTTAACAGCAACCTTTCAAAGTAGTTCACCATCATCAATTTCTACCTTCTTAAGGAACACTGAAGGGGGCAGTTTAAAATACCCACCAGACACGGCGGGAACAGCTCATTAGATGTGGAGGGGTGCAGGTGGCTTTCATGCTGGCACACGAGTCTGTCCTTCCGAGCCTTCTCACTGAGGACCCAGGAATAAAAACAAAGACATTGATATTTACCCAGAAGTGTGCATGGCAGTTGACCATCATGGTTCTCTCGATGAGCTCATCAGGGCATTCCAGGAGGTGATGTCCAGAAACCACACCGGCATTATTGACCAGGACCGAGACCTCACCGACCTCCTTGCGGACCCTTTCAGCTGTTAGGTAGACATTCTCCCTCTTTCCCACGTCACAAGTGTAGGTAAAAACCTGCAAGTTACACGGGGGCAGGATTTCCTCCTCACCATTGCCAGCTGTCCTCAGAATCCAGATGAGGGGAGGATGGAAGAGAGAAGGGGTGCAGAGAGTGAACCACATGGCAGTCAGCAGGACAAAACTCATACAAAGCAAAAACACTACAGTGAGCTTCAAATTTCTAACACCGTAATGCTTGCCAATAATTCAGCTTACAGCTGCCTTCCTCCCCCGAAAGTCTTTGGGAATTACAGCAATTTACTGGACAACCTTGCTTAGGGGAAAGTCATGTAATTGTGGCAACTCCAATACAAGTAGACCACATGGGATCAACTTGCTGGAGCTAGACACCTGCAAAGAACTGAGCTCAGCCCAGAGAATAACACACATTACACATTCCTGGTTTCAGATGGGGGTGGGAGGAAGCCAGTGGCTAGAAAGCTCTACCCTCAGAACAGAAATCCTCTCCAAGGATCCTCTCCAAATTGTAAGCAACAATATGAACTCATTCAAAGCCAGGAAATGGATGAGAAGTTTCTAATGAAAGAATGGAGGTCACTGGTTTGTCTTTAAACCGATTCCCTTAAGAATTAATCTCACGGATGGAGTTTAGAAGTTAATGTGCAAGTTTACCACAGTAGAGTTCAAACAGCATAAAATCAAAATCCCTTCCCTAAAAATGAATATTTCTTTCTCTCAAATGTGTTGCCTCTCCATACTAGCTCTGAAAATGTGACATTCTGAATCTCACCTAAAAAGCACAGGTTCTGGTAAATTAGGTAACAAATGATAGGCATGGGGGAGAGCAGGCCAAGTCAATCTGGCCACCACCAAATTTCCCAGAACAGGATCTATAGCTGATCATGATCCTCACTTAGGTTTACATTTTTTTTTCTCAGATGCACACTAGCTGTTGAGCTCATAAAATGCAGAGTGGGGTACCCCCAAAACCATGAAAGAAGTCTACCCAAGGTCTGAAACACTGAAGCACCTTCTTTCTCAGAGGAAGGGAATCGCTCTCAGTTACTTAAGGATGGGGAAACAATGTAATTATTTCCCGGAGCTAAAGTTATAGTGAAACGATCCACACAGCTCTAGCCTAAGCGGCCCAGACCTCACAGAAACAGATAACTGCTTCAGTTCCTTGTGGAACAACTTCCCAAAGACACTTTTAGCTTCCCATCATGCCACATGCAAGCCAGACTGGGAAACTGCTTTGGGATCTAAACCTGTGGTAGTAGCAAGATTCCCCCCTGCCCTCCACTATTGGCAGAGTTTAGGAAAGCTCAGCGTGGCGCCAGAGAAACCTGGCTTTAGCGCACTTCCAGTCTTTCAACACAGAAAACAGTGCTCTCTTATCAAGGGGCAAATTCCACTCGCCTTTGGAAGACCTGTGGGTGTTCTTTTCCTGGAGAGCGGGGCTGCCCGTGACAGTAGGGTGTGGGGACCCTCCGGGGAGGGGAGAGGTTTGACCCAACAAAGCACGGGCCATTACCTTGCAGAGCAGCGGCGTCGGCCGCCTCCAGGTCCCGGTAGATGTGACGAACCATGCCTGCAGTCTCCTCGTTGCTCTGCGTGTTGATGTCCCAGAGAACCAGCTGTGCCCGGCGCCGGGCAAACTCCAGAGCGAAGAGGCGGCCCAGGCCGCTGCCCGCGCCCGTGATGAGGCACACCTGGCCGGCCACGCTCTTCTCCTTGGGCCGTACCAGCCAGCGCGCCGCGGCCAGCACGAACGCCCACAGCACTTTGAAAGTGACCACGAAGAACTCCACCACGATGTTCATCGCGACGTCCCGGGTCCCGCGCGAGTCCCAGCACCGTGTGTCCTCACCCTCCCCGAGCCAGACAGCCCAGCTCCTGGCCCCGGAGCGCTTGTCACTGCGATCGGGGCGCGAAGCGTGCGCCCCGAGTCCGCCCCCGAAATGCCGAGAGGGGCCGAAGTGCTCGGGGGTCAGTCCCGCCCGGCCACTCGGCGCGGTGGCCACGGGCTGTGCCTGCCGCTGCGGCCGCCCGGCTCGGCGCCTCCTGCTGGCGGCCGCTGGCTTGTCCCGCAGCGCCCAGCCGTCCGGTCCCGCTGCAGCAGCGGCGGTGACAGCCACGAGTTAGGCGACGCGCGCTGCCTTCATGACCAAGCCGCCGACGCCCGAACGTCCCCTGCGCCGCTGCTGCGGCTCCCTCTCCTCCTAGGGCAGGGGTGCGCCGGGCGGGTGGCTCCGGGCGCGGGAGTTGTCAACTTGACTCAAGTTGCGGGAGGGTGCGGGCAGCGCCGGGAAGGGACGACTTGTGGGGCGCACGAGAGGGCTGCCAACCGCTCGAGGTGCCAGCGCGCCTCGGGTCCCCTGCCCTGCACTCGCGCCGCTGTCACTCGGGCGCCGGGCTCTGCAGCGGAGCTGTGGCCGCGAGTCGGGGCGCTCTCCGCCGGCTCTGAGAGAGCTCCACACACCGCGCTATATAACCAGAGGGAAGCGCCGGCCGCTGCAGCGGCAGCGGCCCTCCCTCCGCTCGGCCCTCCCCGCCCCCGGGCGCACCCCGCCCCCGGCCCACCTCCCCCCCCCCCCACCGCGCCCTCCCTCCGCCCGCTGGCCCCCTCACCGAGCGGGGCAGCCCCTCTCCCACGACCGTGGCCGGAGCCTCCCGCCCTCGTCGCGCTTCTCCTTGCGGCTCACGCCCCCTGCCGTGGGTCGCCGCGGCTGGCTCCTGCCGGGCCCCGCGGTCGCCAGAGCACCCCCCATCCTCCTCGGACCGTCCGGTCATCGCTCTTGCCCGGCTCGCCACTTTCGCCAGCCGAGGGACTGTGGACTCCGCGGCCTGCGATCAGGCGCTGCGGAAGACAGCCACACTGGCGGGCGAAACGAGGACCTCGGGAGGGTGGCCGGGGTGTGGGGGGGAAGGGAGCAGGGCTGCGTGACCACGGGCGGCAGAGAGCCCGCGGAGGTGGCCGACAGTGACTTCGTTTCTTAGTTAGCCGCTGAGGGACGTGAACCCCCAGACTCTAGAGAGCCTCACGGGAATCACCACGGCGAAGGCTGCCCAGAGTCCCGGTCAACGTCGCCCTACAGCCCGGCGGGCTGTGGAGTGATGCATGCTGGGATTTGTAGTTCACATTCATGAAAGTGGCTTTTGGGTCCAACGATCCCGCGGAGTCTGAGCCTAATGTTGTCAACGTAACCTGGAGGAATTAAAGCTTCGAACTGATAAAAGTGTCAGTGTCGTGCTCATTTAAAAATAATGTACTTAGTGTATTTGTTTTCCCATGAGTTTTACCCTGAAGTTGGCTGGCAGTGAGTAGGTCAGACTTGTTAATTTTGCGCCTGCAAAGTGAGCGCTCATTTCCAGATTCTTTTCTGGCTTATCTCAGGACAGCTATAAATCCTGGGGCTTCGCGCTCGCGGACCTTTAAGGGGACAGTGCGCAGGCGCCGACTTCCTCTTTTTTTTTATCCGCCTGGAACCATGGAGGCTGTGCCGTAAGTAGAGTCTCCCCTTCTCCAGAATCCTCCTCCATCTCCCACACTAGAGGCATTTTTGTCTCACTTTTCCAGTGTCTGACTGTAGCCTGCACCACTTTCTACCTGTCTGAGTGTTTGTGACGCTGCGTGACATTAGGAGGGGGGTGCGGGCAGCCGAGGCGCGGAGGCCTCGGGGACGCCGGCAGCAAGCGGCAGAATGTGTGCGGAACCCGCCGCTCGGGCGGAGGTCCACTTCACTGTGTCATGCGTTTCGAGGGGGCCAGGAATGAGCAGGCTTAGGCATTTGCCGATCGGCCCACACCTTCGACATGTGGAACTTGAGACTCTAACCAGGAGGACATTTAGAGTCCTGGGACCTTGGTCCTACAAGTTACATCCTGTGGTAGCAGTTTCTACAGTGTTTGCCAGCTTTTCCATCAGAGGCCAGGACTGATGACTGGGAATAGGCCTAAGTCTTAATGTCTTAGGTGTTAGCCTTTAAGGCGTAAAGGTTCGAAGATGAATATTATGGACATGGAGGAAATCTAAACTCTGCATCTTCAGCAGAACATTCTAGGACAACGGAGATGCCAGTGGGTGATGGTTTTAACAGCATATCACTGAGTACCTGCAGTGTTTGAGAGACAACATTAAGGTTTTTCAGTTATCAACAGTTCTGTTTGCTAATGACAGGGAGAAGAAAAAGGTTCCTGCTGCACCGGGAACCCAGAAGAAAAAGAAGGTTCCTGCTGCGCCAGGAACCCTGAAGAAGAAGAAGCTTCCTGCTGTGCCAGAAACCCTGAAGAAAAAGCGAAGAAATTTCGCAGAGTTGAAGGTGAAGCGCCTTCGGAAGAAGATTGCCCTGAAGTCAGTAAGTAAACGTTGGGGGGCCCTGGTCGGGACTGAGAATGGAGTGAGATGTTTGTTAGTAGATTGATCTGTTTCGTAGTGGTTGTTGCTAAAGAGTTGCTAAAGTGGCAGGTCCTTGTGAGAATCTGTCTTTTAAGAAGTTGTCCCTTACTGTGGTGAGACAGTTTCCTAGAGCTGCCACTGAGCTAAAGTGTGAGTTAATTGCCGTGGTTTTCAGCTGCGAAGGGCCCAGAGGAAGCTCATCTATGAGAAGGCAAAGTACTATCACAAGGAGTACAGGCAAATGTACCGGACGGAGATTCGCATGGCCAGGATGGCAAGGAAAGCTGGGAACTTCTACGTGCCCGCAGAACCGAAGCTGGCGTTCGTCATCAGAATCCGAGGGTAAGTTCTCAGGAATCCTGTTCTAGGAGCCCTGCTGCAGAGACTTTGACATTTATCATAAGTGCAGTTAGAAAGGGGGACCAGAGATTCTTTGAGGGTTTATTTGTAAGACCTGTGCCTGAGCTCTCCACTCTGATAGCACTGTAGGAGTTGTCTAAAGTTATAATGTGCTATAGTATTGTTACGAAGATGTCTACAAAAGTAGATTCTTGGTTGTTTTTTATTGTATAACAAATCAAAAGATAGAGATGGCGGGTTAGTAGTGTTAAGTCTATTTATTGGGACTTGCATGCAGTCTTGTTGTGCTTAATTTCCTGTTATTTGAAATTATGGTAAAAGCTGCAGGAACATTCTTGGTCTCTTTCTGTGGCAGTATCAATGGTGTAAGCCCAAAGGTGCGCAAGGTGTTGCAGCTTCTTCGTCTGCGGCAGATCTTCAATGGCACCTTCGTTAAGCTCAACAAGGCTTCGATCAACATGCTGAGGATTGTGGAACCATACATTGCATGGGGGTGAGTTTTCCGCTTAGGCGATTAGTTATATGACAAGATGAACTTAGATACTTTGGCTGTATTCGGATGACCCCTTCCCTGATTTCCCTATTTCAGGTACCCCAATCTGAAGTCAGTAAATGAGCTCATCTACAAACGTGGCTATGGCAAAATTCATAAGAAGAGAATTGCCTTGACAGATAATTCCTTGATTGCTCGGTCTCTTGGTATGTTATGCTTTTTGGGGGTAGGGGTGGGTGCTCGATCAAGGTCATGCTTTCCAGCCACACTTTACTTTTGTGTATTTGCGGGTGGAGGCTATGTCTGCACTGTGTGGTGTGGCTATGTCTCACTAGAACCTGTCCTGTGTTTTCATGTGCTAGGATTACATACAGGCAGGCCACCATGCTTGTCTTGTTGGTTGGGGGGGGGGGCTTCATTGTCTCTAAACCCCGGTCCTTACTCTTGTGCAGCAAGCAGTGTTATCTCCTGAACCATTTTCCCCGCCTGGCCCCTGTGACATTCCTAAACTCCTTGATGGTTTTAAGAAAAATAAATGCTTCACACACCTTTATTTTTGAGATAAGGTCTCAATTGTACCTTTGGCTGGCCCTGCCTCCCAGCTAGGGTTAAAGGTGTGGACCACCGGGCCTGGCTAGTCCTTGTTTATTTGATGGATAATATTTAATTCCGCCTTTGTGTTTGTTGAATAGCTAGGCGGTGGTAGCACCAGCACCGACTTGTTCTACAGATTTAAGTTCCAGGACAGGCTCCAAAGCTGCACAGGGAAGCCCTGTCTCAAAAATGATAAGTAAATAAAATGGGTGATCTTAGACTCGGATTTTTTTTTTTCCAGGTAAATACGGCATCATCTGCATGGAGGATCTAATTCATGAGATCTATACAGTTGGAAAACGCTTCAAGGAAGCGAATAACTTCCTGTGGCCCTTCAAATTGTCTTCTCCACGAGGTGGAATGAAGAAAAAGACAACTCATTTTGTGGAAGGTGGAGATGCTGGCAACAGGGAAGACCAGATAAACAGGCTTATTAGACGGATGAACTAAGGTGAGAGACTGTGTCCTGAACTAGTCTTGTTTGTTTTTTGAGACAGGATTTCTACATATTTCTGACTGTTCTGGAACTTTGTTGATGAGGCTGGCCTAGAACTCAGCTTTTGCTGTGCAGTTTCTGGGATTGAAGGCATGTGTTGCTATGCCTGGCTAAAAACTAGTTTTCGGGGAGGACGTGTAATCTTGAATGCTTTCTGTTAAATGTTGATTGGGTGTATCACTGATTTTTCTTTTATTTGTATGAGGGGTTCTGTCTGCCTTTGAAGTATGTTCTTTTACAACTGATGTTGACTTATAGCTTAGAGGGTAGTTTTTAACTTGTGTATGTTTTTCCTTTTCAGGTGTTGCCCATGGTATTTTTGTAATCTGGTCAGTTAATAAACAGTCACAGCTTGGCAAACTGAACTGTGTTGGAGTCTTTGTTGGCCTGCCTTTGGCCTATTCACTGGTAGTAGCAAATCTTAGAATATCAAAAGTTAAATCATATCAACAGCCTGTGACATGCAAAACCAGCTCCAGGG